CCTCAAGTGATCCTCCTGCCTCAGCCTCCCAGACTGCTAGGATTACAGGTGTGAGCCGCCATGCCCAGCCCAGATTATTTCATTTTGAACTGGTTGTCTTGACATGATGTAGACAGCGTCAGGCACATATTAGGTGCTCAATAACTATCTTTTGAAAAACTACATAGAAAATTGTACTTTCTCATAAAAACAGAAAGAGAGAAGAAACAGGAAGAAATTCACAAAATTCTCTATTAAACTAACCTGGACAACTCTTAAGAAACACTGAAGTCACCCATTTTTATAATGCCATTGAGCCCAGAAACATGAGTCATAGAATAAACAATAGCATTATTGTAATTTAAGAACAGGTATACTGTTACGTACCTCCTCTGACCTAGTTAATTTCTCATGTAATGGTACCTAGACATCTGGCATATAGAAAATGCTGTGTATTAATAAATGTCTTATGATTGTTGTGGTTATTGCTATACTTTCAAAATTATAAATCCACCTGGATGGAACAAAACCTAATTCTTTCCCTAATCTTTACCAGCGTTGTTGCTGAATGTAAAGTCATCCCTGTGGTCAGGAGCGATAAAGGAAAGAGATGAGCAGTTGGTTAGTATTTGTGATTCCTTGTCTGAGGTTATTCATCTGAAGTTGCAGAGACAGAAACACTGAGCTTTCTGGAAACCCACTAACTTTAAATGCCGAAGGAAGAGGCTGGCTAGATTATATGGGCCATGGTAAAAAGGATTGGGCTAGACAATAGGGAATTTTCTGTAGAGAATGTAAACAATAATAAAACAAACTAAATGGATCTGGCTTTTGTCATCACCATGTGGTGGCAATGTTCAGCTATGCAGCAATGAAACTCTCTCCAACTCAAGGGCAGGCCTCTCCCACCACCCTCCTCAAACCTCTTGGAACACCACTGACCCTGTTCTCTTGTCCAATGCCAGGCACAAGGCATGTATGAATCATGGAAAAATGCTAAGGTGGGAAATAAGAATATAAAACTCTCCTCTTCCCCACAAACTCCTTTGTTGCTTTTCTTATTGACTTTTTTTTAAAAACATCGTGTAAACTTCCCATAGTATTTTGCACATCTCTGGTCCTTATTTAAATCCTGTGTTATATGTTAGATTCCATAGCTCAAGGAAAATGCCCAATGAGGACAGAGGAAAGGAATGAACAAGAGCTGGCCATGAAACAAGTTCTGAAAGACCTGCGATTACGGACCTTAACAAGAGGAGGTTGAAGGGTTGAAGTCCTTGCACACGATGCGGTATATTAAATATAAGATAGTGACCAGAGAGATTCCGTTTTCCTAGAAGCATGATGGGCTTAATATACAACAGAGGTTCTATGTCAGGGGTGTCTTTCTCGCATCAAGGAAAGCTGAGCCCTATAAATGGATTCCAGAAGTCTTAGTATATATCAGAAGGTTGGAGAAGCGTGTTTGCCACGAAATTTAATCTTCAATGACCGTTACGTACTTTCCAAAGCGTTACATTCACCTGTATACTGCTTCAATGATAGGAGAAGGGTCACCCACAGAGGTAAAAGCCAATAGGGAACTTTGAGTGATAAGTGATGTGTCAGTGTAGGTGTATTGATTTTAACAAATGCACCACTCTGGCGGGGGGTGTTGAGAATGGGGGAGGCCATGCGCGTGTGAGGGCAGGGGGTATGTGGGAAATCTCTGACCTTTTGCTCAATTTTGCTGTGAACCTGAAACTGCTCTTAAAAATAATCTTTAAAAAGCTAATGAAGGAGAGGGAAGAACTATTGCCGATGCATAAAAAGAATCGGTTTCATTTGCATGATGCTGTAAGACTTACTTAGTGGGTTTACTTTCTCATGTGATTCTCTGAAACTAGAAGGACAGGTGCCCTTATTTCCATTTTTCAAGGTGTCGGAACTGAAGGTCAGAGAGCTGAAGTGACATGTCTTAGTCAAAAGAACAAATAAACAGTAAAGTGAGGGTTTTTTTCTTTTTCTTTGAGATAGGGACTTGTTCTGTTGCCCGGGCTAGAGTGCAGTAGCGTCATCTTAGCTCACAGCAACCTCAAACTCCTGGGCTCAAGCGATCCTCCTGCCTCAGCCTCCCAAGTAGCTGGGACTACCGGCTCACACCTGCACACCTGGATAATTTTGTTTCTCTATTTTTAGTTGCCCAGCTAAATTTTTCTATTTTTAATAGAGATGGGGTCTCGCTCTTGCTCAGGCTGGTCTTGAACTCCTGACCTCAAGCGATCCTCCTGCCACGGCCTCCCAGAGTGCTAGGATTAAAACTAGTCTGATTCTAAGTCCAATGACCAATGCATTTTTTCCACCTGTATCTCTAACAAAACTTTTAGAGAAAAAACCCAAATCTTATTTCTGTCCCAGATTAGATATTCAAAGTAAATGTTTTACTGATAATCAATGTAATTAAGACATTAGGAAAAAGAAATGTAGATGAAATTATGACAGAAAAGAAAGATTATCCAAACTATAAGGTACTAATACCCTTTCAAAAATTTCAGATTGATACAAGGATGATTCTGAAATCACCAACATTAACAGGCCTTAGCCAGCAATAAAGGAGAACTAAGTCTCATAGGAGATCCACCAAATTCCTTATTTCTCATGATTAGTAGATTCGGAAAGAAATAACCAAGAAAACCAGGGGCAAAAATAATGTCCTCCCAACCCCACCAGTATTGATGTGTTTGAGCCTTTGGACACAGGCTTATTAGCCCAAAAGGCAGTGAGATTCTATATGCCAGTTTGAATTTATTAATAAATATAATAATAATAACTAATGCTTATTGAGAGTTTACTTTGTGCTAGGCTTCATTCTAAGTGCTTTGCACTTTTCTTAGATCTTAGTGAAGAAAAATTAACTTTGCAATATCATAATACCCTTTGAAGTGATCAGAAAGTGCCTGTGGCACAAAAACCTGGGACTCGCCACTCTTGGATCTGGAATGCTGGCTTCCCGGAGAGGGAGTGAGGGGAAGGCCTGACAGTCATCCTGTGGATTAATGTCAGATAGCTCCAGACCCACAGAGGAATGTAGACATTCCCTTTACAAATAATTTAGCATAATGCAGCTCTCCAAATAGGTTAAGGCTTTTTGCCTTACAGGCAGAAATGAACTATTGCTCATTTTCTCAATATTCCAAAGATCTAATTTTTTTTTTCTCACTCTGTTGCCCAGGCTGTAGTACAATGGCATGATCATAGATCACTGCAGCCTCAAACTCCTGGGCTCAAACAATTCTCCTGCCTAAGCCTCCTGAGTAGCTGGGACTCCAGGTGTGCACCACCATGTCCAGCTAATTTTCAAAATTTCTTTGTAGAGACGGGGTCTCGCTACATTGCCCAGGAGGGTCTTGAACTCCTGGCTTCAAGTGATTCTCCCACCTCTGCCTTCCAAAGTGTTGGGATTAATAGGCATGAGCCACTGCACTTGGCCTCCAAAAATCTGATTTTTAAGAAGCTTTCACAACCATCCAGTTCTGTTATGTTAAGCTGCTTCCTTCTTCCGTGTTGGCAACAATTTGAAAGAGCAAGAGGCAGGTATGGAAAAACCACTGACCTTCCCCATCACTTGAAGGTGCTCATCAGCGATAGAGTAATCGCATGCTTATGGAGTTTTGGTGGAGATCTGAGCCCTACACTGGGCATGCGTACTGGCTCATTTTCAGGTAGGGCAAAACTATGGGGGAAATATTCCTTTGTAATACTCGCCCCCTGGCATTTTTTTTCTCTTTCACCTGCTTGTTAACATCCAGACTCACTTTTAAATAGGATTGATTTTTTTCTGTATCAGCGATGAATCTTAATACATAAACACTCAGAGCTGTAATACTGACTTAAGTCTACAATAAGGTGTAGACTTTGGTATCAAAGTTGAGGTTTGCCTGAGTCAGATTATGGTGGCGGGATGCAGAGAGAGATGTAGGTTGGTGAATTTTTAGGTAAGGTTTAGGGAGAAAATGCAGAAAAAGGTCCAAAGACAAACACCTGACTGCCCTAATCACTACCTAATCATCGGTCTTCCCTTGCAGTGCTCAGCCTCAGGGCCTGCCCAGTGACAAGTGACTGCGCCCTGAAAGTATTTCAGATGATTGGCACAAGACCTCTGGTTAACATAGAGGGAGAGTGTTTATCCTGCCCCGAAGGTTTAGCCTCTGTATTACTACAGAAGTTTAGTATCTCAGCCACAGGCTCAAGTTCTCTGCTCTCCGGCCAACCATGGGTGATCCCTACCCACACCTTGGCACCCCCAATATTACAGCAGTGCTCTGCAGAGCAAGTCCCTGTCCTGCTGAATGATCCTTGTGTCTGAGAGCACTTCCCTTGTCCTGACCAAACGATTCATAGATCAAAAACACCCCAAACATAGTAATTTTTGTGTCCTCACAAAAGATAATATAATTCAAACGAGAGCGTGGACTGCCTAACTACACCCAAACCCTGATGCACTAAAATTTTCTGTTGAGCAGAGCCACCTTGTGGTGAAATAGAGCGTTTTAAAAAAAATTCTCATTTAATTTGTCTCACGTAACAATCCAATCCAGGTGGGTCGGTTCTCTTTGTTTGCTTTTTAAAAATGTTCATTTTACTCACTCGAGTTTCCAATTAGCCACTTTAAGACTGTCCACTCCATCTGTTTTCCTTACCAAACATCTATTTATCCAAGGTAAACAAACCTACAGTTTGTCATAATTGGAAAGTTTTATGACTAAAACAGAAGTTGACTCGACAGTGTCTCTATAGAAGGACAAGAAAATGTCAATGCTAATTCATTGCTAAAGAGAAAGAGCCACTAGGATATTGTCTTTGCAGCCGATGTGTTCTACAATTCTCACTTCCTTTTCTCCACATTGTCATATGCACACCCATGCAAATTGCCACATAAAACGTACAGGCACAGAGAAAACCCAAAGTGCTCCACAGTGGTTTCCAATCCCGGTCCCACCAAATATTTAATACATATAATCTGTGGTAAAAACTAGGAGTACCTTGAGTTGTGGTTTGATTCCTTCTCTTCCTTCAAAGTAGGTAAACATTCGCAGTCGGCTAGGGCAGAATAAAAGCAAACTCATTGTTAGACACTGAAATTCTATTTTCTACCCGCAAAACTGGCACAGTGGAGCATTGCATTTCCCTGATCCGTGTGGTTACGTGCGCGACATGGCCTCACCAGGGAGTCCTAGCAGTTAAAAGATTAACGATGGCGAGGCTGTTGAAATGGAAAAAGCACTAATAACACTGATACCAGACTTCAACATGCCTCTGCCCCTGTTGGAAAGGGTGCAACTTATCACTGCTTGGTGATTCAGTCCCTGCAGCGCCTCAGTGTTCCAATAGCTGGAATCTGTGTGTTTCAGGATAGACACTGGAATAAGATCCTAATGTGTCTGCAGAAAGACGTTAGTCAGACTGCAAAAAAGAGAAGAAGTAGGCAGGTGGGACACAACCAGTCTTCTTAAAGTCATCAGAATTCTCTTGTATGACACCACTCATTATTTGTAAGGGGAAAAAAAGTTCTTTAGATATATCACCTAGGTGTCAAAATAACTCAGCTTTAGCTGGTAAATGGAAATACCTTTTTCCAATTTTCTGGTTTTAGTAATGATAGGATTATGATTTTTGTATTGCACAAAATCTCAGGCCCAAAAGGAAATTCAACAACGTGACAGTATGTTGCTATATTTCTTAGTCTTTGGGTGATAAAATGTTTTTTTCTTTCTACTAATTTTTTCCCACATTTTCCAAATTTTACTATATATATATTCCTTTTACAAACTAATATAATAAAATAAGACTATTTTAAGGACTATCTCAAAGACCAGTCCCTTTCTTCAAAGGCCTTACAGAGCCATTCTTCCCTCAATATTAAAAACTGTTAGAAATGGTACTAGTTGAGTGGTTCTAACTTTTTTGAAAGCTTATCTTGATAAGCCTCTGGTAATAATAAGATTTCTAATAAGAAATCTTCAGATTTGAGAAGTCTATTGTAGAGTGTTGAATCTGACAGACCCCAGTGTATATTCTTAAGATAAATGTTAAAAATACAAATAATATCATAAAATAGTGTATTTGATTAATTTAATCTAAGCATTCAAGATAAGTTATTAAATGAAAAACAGCTGTCATCATTTTAAAATCCAATTGTTGATTTAATGGAAAATAAGGGACATGTACTACCATTACTGCCTGATATCAACTGGATATTAAGTATTATGGGGGTAATTATATTACCATTTATATAAGTGATGTCCAGTGAAACTTCCTATAGTGATGGAAATGTTCTAAATTCACACTCTCCATTATAGTAGCCATGGGCTCATGAGCACTCAAAATATGGCTACAAAAACTAAGTTTTTAATTTTAATTTTAATAGCTACATTTGGCTAGTATCTATTGTATTGGACAGCACAGATCTATGTAAACTACATTTGATAAAGTTTTATATCCATATACAGTTTAAAATTATAGATCTCTAAATTCTATAGTATGTGAGGTACTGCCAGAACTTAACTTTTTCTGGATAATTTCGTCTCAGAGATTTCCTTGCTTGAAAGGACCTGCTTGAAAAAGACCATTCCAACAACTTGTACAGAAATAAAAGCAAGTGGCAACAACTGATGCAATAATTAAAGTGAATATTTAAGGACTGTCAGACCCAAGTTTATTATCTGCATGCACAGACCTAATGTGGGACTGGGCTCTGCCACACTCCAAGATTTATTGAGTTATTTATAAAGCTGTTGCCGCCTGCTATTTCTAGAGAGGAAGGGAAAAACAAGTTTAGGTCACTACATACCATTTCTGTTCATGCTGTTCATCCATTTATCTAGCTCTTCCATTTCTATTTCCATAACAGAGGGTGTGTCTTCTTCAAAAATGGGGCTAGGAATAGGGAGCAAAAAGCTTATTTAAAAAAATGTGTAATGTGCCCAATTTCGAGGAACTTGATTCATTATCTTACGCATTGTCTTAGCCTGGGGGTTTGCACTATTCCAGAGTATCAAACTTTCACAGGAAGAAGGCTAACATAACACTAAGACAAATCTACATTTATCACTGGCCCCAAAATGGAGGGCCCACAGGCCCAGCAAGTGGGTTAAAAGGGGAACCCAGGGGACCCACTGTTTCCTGGAGGTGCAAAGTCAAGTCTGCAAGGGGCGTTGCCACATTGAGTGTTTCAGCCTTGCTTAATTTCACTTCCCTTTCCTTGGGGTTTTTGATCAGTGCCGCAGGTCAACAGGCCACTGTCAACAGGCTACTTTTATCACCTCTCCCTTCACTTCCCAGGCTTTTCTCTCTTGGCTAAGCGGAGCCGTTGGTTTACAGAAATCCACTGTGCTCTCCGGGTTGAGCTCAGAGCGTGCAGGCAGTGGGGGACAGAAGCTCCCGGGGCCAGTGAAGACGCGGCTTCGGGAGGAGTGCCCACCGCCCTGAACAGCAGCGTGGGCGGTCACTGGGTGGAGGAAACCAGTGAAGTTTCTAAACTAGCTGGGCTGCTGCGGGGGTGGGGGGGGTGGGGGGGGGCATCGCCCAGAGCAAGCTACTAGGTGGAATCTTGTTTGTCTTGTCTCTCTGTTTCTGCACCTGTCTCTCCCTCCATCTCTCCCTCCCTGCCCCCTCCCTGGTGGCCCTGGCTGCCGGAACTTCACGTTTCTACCAGTGCTCTCCCCCTGTCATACCAGCTCAAGGATCTTCCCTGGGGATAAACATTTTTAATCAGAATAAATGAACCGATGTCCTTGAAATACACCCAGGGTCAGAATATTTAACTGCTATGCACTTGGAACTGGTAGCAGGCAGAAGACTCCTTTCTGGACAGAGGACGCCAAATAAAGCAGATCCCACGCTCTCCTGCGCTGGGTGGGGTTTGGGGACTGGGCGAGCCCTCCCTTGGGCCACTAGGACCGTCTCCCCAGCGGGGAAGGCAGGAGAGCCCCGCAGGGTGTCCAGACAAGAACACCTGAGAAGGCGGAGGGCTGTCTAGCCCCGCCTCTCCCTGGTAGCCACAGCGAGCTGGACTGGGGTTAGCGGGTTAGACTTACACTCTCAGGCTCTCACTTCCCAGCTCATCTAAAAGGGAATAATACATAGAGAGGCCGCGTTAGCTCGGTTGGTTAGTAACCACTTCTTATTTCAACAACAGCTGAAGTCTCCTTTACAAAGAGAACAAAATGACTTTAAGTAAACAATGTCTTTAAAGGAGCAATAATTAACCTACAAGTCAAGTAGGTGCAGACTGCCATGTTGAAGGGAAGTCCTAATCCCTGTGAGATGTTTTCTTTGGGGCATGGCTGGTCCTCTGAGCGCACTCCCTTCAGATCGGAAGTTCATCCCTCTTTATTTTTTATATCCACACCAAGAGGAAAACAGTAGTAAGGGGAAGAAAGGCTTGCCCTTTGGCCCCCTTCTGTCTAATGTCCCAGTTCAAAAGGTTGCAGCTTCATCTCTTTCTGACACGCGGTGCTGAGCACTATGACACTCTGCCTTTGCCCTGGAGTAGGACGGGGGCTACTCCATCCAGGGTTCCCCTTGGAACTTTCCTTTTCCCCTGCTCTTTGAGTGGCTGGATCTGTCACATCCTCAGGGGCCCACTGTTTCCCGAGGGAGGCCTCCCCTGCCTCCGCTAGCTCAAGCAGGACTGTCTTCCTCACTGTTCCCCTGCTCAGCACCTTGCTTTCTGCCCTCATTTCTGCCACAATTCCTCACTGATCAGTTCATCTGTTTGATTCCCTGTTGTCTGTTTCCCCCACTAGACCATAGGTCCAAAAGGGCAGGGATCATGTTTGTCTCATGCATTGTGGTTTCCCTCCTGCTCTGATCCAGCTAACAATATCGAAACACCTACTCAGTATTTATTGAATAAATGAGTCGGTCTTAATCTTGATTGTCCAGCACTGTGGTTAAATTCGTGTCCAATCTTTTAAACTTAGCGTTATCACGATAGTGAAATGTCCAACAAGCTGGCTTTTTGTTGCTCTTGGTTGAGGCGAGAGCCCCAGTTTACAAAATGGCTCTGACGCAGATCAGATTCCAGACAAACATGTGGCAAGAATCGGAGCCTGGTGCCCCAGCTGAAGCCCTGTTTCGTGTGGCAGGACGATCAGCGCATCCAGAGAAATGAGGCAATGATGCCAAGTGAGTGGATAGCATCAGTCCACTGTACCTTTTGTGATGTGAAGACTACTAAAAAGCAAAACCACTTTGTAGAGGGCCACCAAATAAACAGACGCTCCTGCTCCTTTGCAATCAGAGGCCTCCTTTTGTCTGGCCTATGGAAATGCAGGTCCCAGCGTGGGAACACAACCAGCAGGCACCTGGAACTAAGTCCCTGGCAGCAGTGAGCCGCCACAATTTCCTGTGGGTTGGCAAGCTTGAATGGCACTGCTAATCCAGGAAAGCTGGGCACAGATGTAAGTTTCATGCCATCGCTGCTTGCCTTCGAAGGGCTGTAGGTTATGTCCTGGCCTCCAGTAGGAACCCAAAGCTTCTTGCAAAGGCCTGAGCCTCAGAAACTCAGATTGGAGAAAGGAGAATTTCTTCATCTTATATTTTACATATATATATACATTTTTAAATCTAAAATCTACAGGTTATTTCCTTAAGGGCTTTTGTGATAAATAAAGCCCCTACATAATTGAATGTCCCTACAGGTGACTCATAAAGATCCCCCCATTTTGTCACTCCCTCCTCCTTCCTCTCCCTTTCCCCCTGCTTTGTGACTTCCCGCTAATTTATCAGAGAACAAGTGGCTCTACAGCCCCACTGTTGTGGGCATGGATTTATCTTTATAATCTGGGTTCCCCACAGGCCTCATGGTGAGCAAAAGCCAGCCTGCATGCAGATGATGGAAAAGTTTAAAAACCCATTACAAAAGTGCTTCAGATGCACCAAATGTGAAGCCCCTGTAATCAGTATTAAAACAGAGCAAAAAGCCTTCTGTGGCCTCATCTTCCCTGCTCCATGGCCATTACCCCCACCCCGGCCGCCATGGTAACCGTAAAACATCTGGGAGAGCACACAAGAGCAGAGCATTAAACCAGGAGGGAGACCAATTACTTGTCCTCAGCAATCAGGCCCTACCCGCTCCACTCCACCTGGCCTCTGTCTCTTTATTAATAGCTACCTACACTTTGCAACCAGGAGGCAAATGCAGCTCTTATGCTGTATCCCCCCTCTTGTTCCATTTTCCCTCCTACAATCCTTCCATTTCATCTCCTCCTACCCACTTTGTCCTCCTCGTTCAGTTCCTACATTACACCCACTTAGCCCGACAACATCCCACTCCCAGATCCTGTCCTCTGCGCATCTGATGGTGGGATTGTCGGGTGGGCATTGGGGGAGGGCAGGAGCCTCTGGCTTCCTTATCTTGTTTCTCTGCTGAGCAGTGAGCAAGAGAGAGCATCTCTTTCCAGGAGATTTACTGAGCAAGCCAGGCATCAGGCAGCCACAGCCTGTTTAAAGTGGTGGTTTACTGCCAGCTGTTTTCCCTGCGTGTCTTTCGGAGAGACCCAGGCCATCAAGACACTGCAAATTTAATGCAGGAAGAATGACAGCTGAACATCAAGTTACTTCACAATGTTTCCTTTTTTCCTGGACATGAAATAGACAGCCCCAAAGAAAAGGGGTAATTTCCAATCAGATAAGTGTTCTTTTCGGAAAGTGTTGCCCAAGTCCTCCCCAGCTGTCAAATTTATAGACTTACTTCCTGGTTTAGAGTAATATATCAGGCTCTATCCATGTGGCAAAAGAAACAGTACATCTATTCCTAACGTTCTGAGGGGGCAAGGTGTGTGTGGGGACCCATGCCCTCCCACAAAGCATTCCTTTGAGAACTTTCTAAGCAAAATGCTGGTCTGACCCACTATGACAGTTTCATTTTTCCAGAAAAAAAATCAACTTTTTGTAATTTAAATATTCTGCTTTTATTAACTTTTAGTATTTAGTTTGTCTGAAGAGATACTCATCTGTTAAGCAGTTAATGATTGGGTCTCTGTTAAAGGAGTGGCTGGTAAAAGAATAATTTCAAATAAAGCTCTTTCTATCAAAAACTTTAGTGATTAGCAATTGTTTTGAAATTCTAAGTTTTCTATGTTGTGTTATCTTAAAGCAAGGCATATTTAAACTAAAAAAAAATGTGCCAGCCTGTAGTAAGGATAATGTGCAAATTTGGTTTTGCCTCTGAGAGTAGGTGATCTTTAAAAAACATTCTAACATTCTTTTATTAACTCATTTATTCAAGAAACATGTGTTGGGCAGGAGTTGTGTTAGACAAAGGGACATAAATAATAAGCTAGTATACACTTAGCACTTATGATATCCCAGGTACTATTGTTTCTAAGTTCAATACTTATATAAGTTTACTTCTCACAACTCTATATGGTAGGTATTGAATTTGCCCATTTTACAGATGAGGAAACTGAATCAGAGACAGTATGTGTTTCCAGAGTAAGCACTCTCAACTTCAATACCACACTGTGAAACGAGCTAAATAAGTTCTTGGTTCTCTTAAGAGAAGGTAACCTAGTAGGAAAGAAAGACCAAAAAAAAAAAAGGACAAGTCACGAATTTATGATGTAAATACTGTGAACAAAGTGCTAGGAGAGCACAGAAGAGGTAGTGATTAATTTTGCCTGTGGAGGGATCACCCACGATTTTGTAAAAACTTTAGAACTGGGCCCTGAAGAATGGGGTGGCAGTTTGCCAAGCAGACAAGAAGGACATTCCAGACAGAAGGAATAGTGTCGACCAGGTACGGAGGTATCCTGAAAGTCAAGCCACACTCTGGGAACAGCAAATACTTCAAGTATAGCTGCAGTGTCAAATGCGCGGGCAACATCTGAGGACGAGGCTGGATCTCGTTTGTAAATGGCTTTTGAACTATGACACTTCCACAGTAAGTTCAATGAAAAATCACTATCTGTATTTAGAGCCTAGGAGCATGAGCATTTGAATGGACAGCCCCCAACCCAGCTCCATTAGGTGAGACTGGCTGTGGCGGCTATGGTTCAGGCCAGAAAATTCTTACTTTCCCTGAGTTTAAAAAAAATGAAGTCCAGGCAGCTCTGTTTGCTTTTGCTTTTTCTTAACCTTACAAATAAGCCCCTGTATGACCACTGTTATTAGATCACCCTGAAATTTAAAGCAGTGGAGATATAAGTGTATTTGCTATTTCCTTGGAATCTAGTACATAGTTGCTAAAAGTTGGAGTGGCTGTGGGCATTTCTTAAAATAAGACAACAATGAAATTTGCCACATCTGTTGACTCTTCCTTTCACAAAAGATTTCTCTGTAGCATGAGATACTGTTGGATGCTCTTTCAAAACTGGAATCAGTCTGCTCAAATTCTGCTGCTGCTTTTTAACTAAGTTTATGCAATATCCTAAATCCTTTGCTGTCATTTTAACAATGTTCACAGCATCTTCACCAGGAGTAGATTCCATCTCAAGAAACCACTTTTTTTATCATGAGATTCCAGCAATTCGGTCACATCTTCAGGCTCCACTTCTAATTCTACTTCTCTTATTTCTATCACATCTACAGTGACTTCTTCCACTGAAGTCTTGAACACCTGAAAGTCATCCATGAGGGTTGGAATCAACTTCTTCCAAACTTCTGTTAACGTTGATATTTTGACCTTCTCCCATGAATCCCAAATGTTCTTAATGGCATCTGGAATGGTGAATCCTTCCAGAAGGTTTTCAACTGCCCAGATACATCTGAGGAATCGCTCTCTGTGGCAGCTATAGCCTTACAAAATGTATTTCTTAAATAATAAGACTTGAAAGTCAAAATTACTCCTTGATCCATGGGTTGCAGAATCGACTTGTTTTAGCAGGCATGAAAACAACATTCATCTCCTTGTATATCTCCGTCAGAGCTCTTGGTTGACCAGATGCATTGTCAATGAGCAGTAACATTTTGAAAGGAATATTTTTTTACTGAGAAGTAGGTCTCAATAGTGGCCTTAAAAATATCCAGTAAACTATGTTATAAACTAATGTGCTGTTATCTAGGCTCTGTTATTCCATTTAAAGAGCACAAGCAGAGTAGATTTAGCATAATTCATAAGGGCCCTAGAATTTTTAGAATGCTAAGTGACCATTGGCTTTAATTTAAAGTCACCAGCTGCATTAGTCCCTAACAAGGGAGTCAGCCTGTCTTTTGAAACTTTGAAGCCAGGAATTGACTTCTCCTCTCTAGCTAGGAAAGCCATCTTTTCCCAACAGAAGACTGTTTTGTATGCATTAAAAATATGCTGTTTAGTGTAGCCACCTTCATCAATTATCTCAGCTAGATCTTCTGGTAACTTGCTGCAACTTCTATATCAGTATTTATTGCTTCACTGTGTACTTTCATGTTATGAAGATGGACTTTTTTTCCTTAAACCTCATGAACCAACCTCTGCTAGTTTCCAACTTTTCTTCTGCAGCTTCCTCACCTCTCTCAGCCTTTATCGAATTGAGAAGACTTAGGTCTTGCTCTAGATTAGGCTTTGGCTTAAGGGAATGTTGTGGCTGGTTCGGTCTTCTATCTAGACTACAACTTTCTTCATATCAGCAATAACACTGTTTTGCTTCTTATCATTTATGGTTCACTGGACTAGCACTTTTCATTTCCTTCAAGAACTTTTCCCTTGCATTCACAACTTGGCTGACTGGTGCAAGAGGCCTAGCTTTCATCCTATCTTGGCTTTCAACATGACTTTCTCATTCTAGCTTTTAACCACTTCGGTACAGCGCTCACCGGCCTCGAAACCTTGCCCACTGCTGGCACTCACAGTCCGCACGACAGTTTGTGCTGTGCATTGACTACGAATCTGTTTTGCTCTTATGTAATAAGGAAAGCTTGAAAGCACTCAAAGCTTCTTTTACTTTACAGGCAGCTACACTTGTAAATCAGAATAGATAACATATACATATGTTTTCATTACGTTATTTTTCTTTTTTTTTCTCTTTTTTTTTGAGACAAAGTCTTGCTTTGTTGCCCAGGCTAGAGTGAGTGCCGTGGCGTCAGCCTAGCTCACAGCAACCTCAAACTCCTGGGCTTAAGCAATCCTCCTGCCTCAACCTCCCGAGTAGCTGGGACTACAGGCATGCACCACCATGCTCGGCTAATTTTTTCTATATATATTAGTTGGCCAATTAATTTCTTTCTATTTATAGTAGAGATGGGGTCTCGCTCTTGCTCAGGCTGGTTTCGAACTCCTGACCTCGAGCAATCTGCCCGCCTCGGCCTCCCAGAGAGCTAGGATTACAGTCGTGAGCCACTGCCATTACGTTATTTTTAAATGTTCATAATTTTATTTTGATAAATGAAAAATTAGGAAAGTCATATCACGGCTGTCGACTATAGTCGACGCTGGGCTGTGCGCCTTCATATCGCGGCTGTCGGCTACAGTCGCTGTGCATGTTCATCTGTGGCTGTTGACTACATTCGGTGCTCATACCGAAGTGGTTACTTTAAAGTGAGAGATGTGTGACTCCTCCTTCCACTTGAACACTTAGAAGCCATTGCGGGGTTATTAATTGGCCTGGTTTCAATAATGTTGTGTCTCAGAACTAAGGGAGGCCAGAGGAGAAGGAGAGAGATGGAACAAGGGCTGGTTGATGGGGTTTGTGGTGTTCCAAAGCAATTATAATAGTAACATCAAAGATCACTGATCACAGATCATGATAACAGATATAATAATAATGAAAAAGTTTGAAATATTGTGAGAATTACCAAATTCTCAACACAGAGACACGAAGTGAGCACATGCTGTTGGAAAACATGGTGCCAATAGACTTGGTCAACACAGGGTTGCCATAAAACCTCAATTTGTGAAAAACAAAATATCTGCTAAGCGCAATAAAGTAAAATGAGGCATGCCTATATTTTTAAATTTCAATGTAGGCTAAAATCATTCTTTTTGTAAAAATGAAAGAAAGATGGCATTATTGGCTAATCTGGAAAGCTCCATTAAAATACATCGTTTATCCCTTACTATTTTATATATCCCTTGTTGCTTAACTTTAAGATATCCCTGCTCCTTCTCCAATCCTATCCCCAACCATAAGCAGAATAATACTTACATGTCTGTAGAGCACTCTGAGATCCTTGGCTAGAAGGCTCTGTGTAGAAGCAAAAAGTATTTTGTGTTATTGATTGTTCATTAACACACAAAGCAATTGTCTGGAAATGGGAATATATCGAATATTTACCTTTTTTAGTTCTTTTTTTTTTATAGTATGCTACAAAGAGTACCATTGATATAAGTAGGAAGACCAATAACATCAATGGGATCACAACCATTAATATAAGATCTAACTGAATTGCATCCTCAGCGATTGTGGTGGAATTCGTATCTGCAGTTAATGCTACCGTGGTCACCGCAGAAGACGCGCTTGAAGTTGTCTCTCCATCTTGTCTTTCAGGTGGCCAGGATGTGTCTCCTGACAGTTCTTCTGATAACTCAGAATCACCTGCGGGAACAGGCACAAAATTGAGTTTGCCATGGAGGCAAAGCTTGTATGTTATGTTTCTAATGATTTTTAAATGTATTCCAGATAGATTCAGTGACAAACTTGATCCACTGACTACATTTGGCCTTCCAATTCCATGTGACACAGAGCATTGATTTAACAAATGCGGCTCAAGCTGGGAGAATCCTGAACATGGAGTCAGAGCCCAGAGACAAACCTTGCACAAAGGAACGCAGTTTAGCCTTGAACAGACACTTTCGGGCTTAAGTAAAAGACATCTGGAAGCTTTTTGGTGTCAATGAGACCTCCCAAGGCATGTTAAGTGGTATTCCAGGACATCTCCTATAGGGTATCATAATATCTTAATAAAAATTCTGAATAAATTTAAATTTGCCTTTACTGAAACTTAAGCACATACCAAATAACACTTTTAGATGTAAAGAAATGCACCTTGTGTCTTAATTTTTTTTAGAAAGTTTACCTATCTATCAATGGAAAAGAATTCTTTGAAATTGGAGTGACTGCTCAGATTTCAGTGTAAAGTCTCACATTCTGCCTCTAAGATTACCTGACAGGAGCCCTCCTGGATTCTAAATCAAAATACAACAAACATCTCATTGGTAAAGTGAAATTCTCAAGAGGAATTTCCTTAGAGACTAAGGAAACTACATCAATATTGAAATTTATGTATTAAAATGCATCTGTAGGCCAGGCACGGTGACTCACGCCTGTAATCCTAGCACTCTGGGAGGCCGAGGCGGGAGGATTGCTCAAGGTCAGGAGTTCCAAATCAGCCTGAGCAAGAGTGAGACCCCCATCTCTACTAAAAATAGAAAGAAATTAATTGGCCAACTAAAAATATATCGAAAAAATTAGCCGGGCATGATGGCACATGCCTGTAGTCCCAGCTACTCGGGAGGCTGAGGCAGAAGGATCGCTCGAGCCCAGGAGTTTGAGGTTGCTGTGAGCTAGGCTGACGCCACCACACTCTAGCCCAGGCAACAGAGTGAGACTCTGTCTCAAAAAAAAAAAGTGCATCTGTAGAGCTTTAAATCAAGCTATAAATAACTTTATTCTATTTGACCCTCAGAGTATGATGAAAAACTATCTCGTGGCTCCCCGTGGGATGGAAGAGGACTGCTGACTTGATGACAATTCACCTGGCGGCGTGGTGGTCACGGCGAGGTAAGCTGAAGTTTTTTGTCCTATCATGGTATAGTGTTGCCCACCTTTCAGAAAGGGCCCACTGAGGAAAATACATAAGCTTAGGTTACAGAAAACATATCAAATGAGATAATTTATATGAAAGTTCTTTCTAAGATGAAAGGTGCTATGCAAATAGCTAATTCAGCTGTTTTAAATCACACTCTACTGTACAGTTTAGACAATGACTCCATAGAATGACCAAACAGGACATAGCAGAGCCAACTCGGCAGTTTATTCATCTTCGTAAATTGCATGACAATGGAGTCCTCTGATTTGAGTTGAGACAATAAAAATGTTTGGCTGTTGTTATGAACTGAATGTTTGTGTTCCCCTCAAATTCATATGTTGAAGCTCTTACCCCAATCCGATGGTCTTAAGGGGTGGAGCCTGTGGGAGATAATCAGGTTTAGATGAAGTCAGAAACCTGGAACCCAAGATGGAACCCAAGATGGAATTAGTGCCCTTATAAGAAGAGAAAAAAGACCAGAGTATACGCATGTGCTCTTGCTCTCTCTCTCTCTCTCTCTCTCTCTCTCTCTCTCTCTCTCTCTTTCTCTCTCTTTGCCCTGTGTGGATACAGTGAGAAAACAACAAATCTTCCAGCACCTTGTCTTGAACAGCCCACTTGATCTTGAACTTCCCAGCCAACAGAAATAAATATCTGTTGATTAGACTACTCAGTCTGGGTGTTTTGATATGACAGCTGAGCTAAGACAGCCACAATCTATTTTTTTGTTATTATTATATAGATACACATTTCAGTCTCCCCCACCAGGAATTTCATTTGATAATCACTTTGGTAAATGCTACCCCAAACCATCAGAATCAATTACAAACTGCAGAGGAAACTTACTGATGTTCCTCTCACATATATGCCAAAAGCAAGATAAAAAATATCTAGCAATTTTTTAAGAGGAGGGGCTTTTAGATGGCTGCCTAGATGCATCTGGCACTTGCCGCTTTCACAAAGAACCAAAAAAGCAAGTAGAAAATCACACTCTGGGCCAAAGTGGCTCACGCCTGTAATCCTAGCACTCTGGGAAGCTGAAGTGGGAGGATTGTTTGAGGTCAGGATTGTGAGACCAGCCTGAGCAAAAGCAAGACCCTATCTCTACAAAAAATAGAAAAAGTAGCCAGGCATGGTGGCACACACCTCTAGTCCCAGCTACTCAGGAGGCTGAGACAGGAGGATCACTTGAGCCTAGGAGTTTGAGGTTGCAGTGAGCTATGATGACGCCACTGCACTCTAGCTGGGGTGACAGTGTGAGACTCTGTCTCAAAAAAAGAAAATCACACTCTGAATAGATTATCTGGGAGAGAACACTGGAGTTCAACAGGAAAGTGAGAGGGAACACCTCAGGCAAGGAGGGAGAAGGAAGCGAGGCAGGCTGCTCGGCCAGGATCGGCTGGGAACCTGAGAGACTCCCCGGCGCAGAGAAACGCTGAGAGACCCTCGTGGTCACGTCCCCACCACCGACTCCTGCATCTGCATCCTAGCCCTGGGAAAGCCCATAGACCCTCCCAGGCCTGAGACTAACAAAACAAGCTAGCTGCCTGGACACCAGGCAACGGCATTGCTCCGGATAGGGTACTCAGGCTGGGCCCCACAAATCCCCAAGCCATAAGCAGCTACAGCACGGTGCCATTTTGAGAGCCCAGCCCCCACCAGACTGCATCCTGCCCTGGGGCCCAACAGCCCGTGCATCTCCACATCCCTGGAGCCCCCCGAAATCCTCTACCCACAGCCACCTCCAATGCTTTTCTTTGTGAAAGAGGCAAGTGCCAGATGCATGTTGTCAGCCATCTGAAAGCCCCTCCTCCAAACTCCCCCTTTTATTTCTTTTGCTTACTTCTACTTTTCTGCAGCTGCTGCTACCAATACTATTTCAGAGGCTGGGCGCGGTGGCTCACACCTGTAATCGTAGCACTCTGGGAAGCTGAAGCGGGAGGATCGCTTGAGGTCAGGAGTTGAAGACTAGCCTGAACAAGAGTGAGACCTCATCCCTACTAAAAATTAAAAAAAATTAGCCAGCCAACTAAAACAATTAGAACAAATTAGCCGGGCATGGTGGCGAATGCCTGTAGTCTCAGCTACTCAGGAGGCTGAGGCAGGAGAATCACTTGAGTCCAGGAGTTTGAGGTTGCTGTGAGCTAGGCTGACGCCACGGCACTCTAGCCCCCAGGCGACAGAGCAAGACTCTGCCTCAAAAAAAAAAAAAAAAAATGCTATTTCAGGCCAACCTTTTTTGAGAATTTACTAAGAACCAACCCTTGTGCTCTGCCTTTGACCTGGACTATCTTATTTTGTCCTCACCATTTTTTCAGAAAGACACTGGGGCAAAGAGGTTGCAGGACTTGCCCAAGATCACAGAGCTAACTTGCCCAAGATCACAGAGCTAACGCGTAGGGGTGAAGGCGTGAACCCTGGAGGGCTGACGGCAGAACCAGAGCTTGTAACCTCAGACTGTATCTTCTTTCCAGTCAGCGAGGAATGTAATACTTGTAAATCCTGAAGTTTGGCCAGAAGTGGTGAGCAAGAGACGGAACCTCCTGTTCTTGCCCTTCAGCCAGCCTATAGCTGAGGTGGCACAAGAGGGAAGGGAGGAAATGGTTCGTGGAAACCTCAGCCTTTGCAGGGCCCTTGCCAAGGCTCTTCGGCCCAGATGCACTGCGAGCGAAGCTGCCCAGAGGGACCCGGCCTTTTCAGCGCCTCTCTGAGGAAGGGGAATGAAGTTCCCAGTAGAACACTTAGCGCTCTGGGTCACCATTTGACCCTGGCCCTTGGAGAAGAGAAAATAGGACAGGAAATACACTAGCAAGAATGATGAGGGCATTTCGACAATCGGGAATGAAAGAGAACCAAGAAGTGGACCAGATGGTCCTGGGTGGGCATGTTTATTTTCCAGCATGATACAATGCTGGTGACAGGTGGCCTTCGGTGGCATGGTAGATAGAGTTAAGGGGGCCGGAAGTTCTCTCCACAGTACCCGCCTCGTACACATCCTCACCTGTGTTTTCTACCTTAAGCATTGTTTGCTCTCTCTCTTGCTCTCTCTCTCTCAGGTTCTCTAGCAGCTATTTAAATAAATGAGAATCAAGAGTTTGTTCATTTTCTCTTTCTCTCTCTCTCTCTATTTGTCTTTACCCTGCAAGCTTTCATCTTCACAGGCTCCTGTGATGACCTCTCTCATAGCCCTCCCTTCCCTAACCAACTCTAACTCCACCGTAGCCTCAAAATAATGAATCACACTAACTAGCATTTATTAAATGCTTCCTTTGTGCTAAGTCCTAGGACAAACACGTGCTCACGTGCTATATAATTTGATCTTCGCAACAACTTTATTGTCCCCATTTTACGGATGAACAAACTGAGTCTCAAATGCCCAGGGGTGCAATCCTGTCATCAGTGTTGTGAAGTTCTGATCCTAGAGTTTTGAAGGTGCATCCCCTTACACATGGGTGCCGAATGACAGACCAAGGGTGTAGTCACAGCTCTGTCACTTAACAGTTGTGGGGATCTGGACAAATTATTTATCCCTTAATGATTTAATTCTTTAATCTATACAACTAAGGAGTGATTCCCAAGGTTACATCTCTATGTTGATTCCAAAGCAATCACCATGTTTTTAATTAAAAATATTAGTAGGTAATACACACATGGTACTTAGTTCAGAAAGGAGGTTTCCCTACTGCGTTTTCCCTCAGCCTCTCGGTTTCCCTCCCTAGAGGTAACTGCTTCTGCTCCCCTCCGGAGAAACTCTGCATATGCAAGTATTAATATAAGTATTGTTTCC